AAGAGCAGGCGAGAATCAATTAAAAGAGAAAGGATTCCTGAAGCTGTGTGTGGGAGGTGGTAGCTATGTACCTTACCTATGATGCGGGATGGGATGGTGATGATGTCATGGCTGCCGCTTGCGAGCTCTTCTCTCCTCGTGCTGCTTCTCGATGGTGTCAATGGCGGGGAAATAGGAAAGAGCAGCAAGCCGCATGTGACAAATACAGCATAAAGCAACCTGTTCCTGCCTCTAATTAAAGAGGACTCGTTTGTAAGAGCAATTCCTCGCCGTATGCCAGATGACGTTTCTGACTGGAAGATACGCCAGAACGGCCTAGGATCGTCAGACATTGCACACTGTCGTTACAGGCCTGGGGTATCGCGGAGGTAACACTCCTCAACATTCCCAGCCACTGCACTACTATTCTACTACCCAAATGACGCCACCAATACCTTCACCTGGATCTGATTGTCCGACAAATCCGGTCCGATCTGGCTCGTGCCGGCTACACTTCCGGTGAGAGCGGTACAGCCTCACGACGGCAAGCATATAAAGAACAACAACAACAACAACAACAGGTAGAGTGCGCAGCTTCAACTACATCGCCCCGAGCTAGCTACTTTTTGATACTTCTACCTGCGTAAACTCTTTCTGCATGCAAAGTGTTCTTTTTCCATGTCATATATGTGCGATATGTCAATGACTTTCAGTAAGCCAGTTCATATAAATGTTCGTCCCAGCCTTGGTCGTCTCCACGTCTTGGACATGTAGACCGGTCATGCTTTTCTAGGTACACATGTAGCAGCAGATGCGTTAGGGAGGCAAAGAGATTGTCGAATGAGACAACCTTTACAGCATCTCAGCGGCCCTTGAAGACGGGCTTCCTCTTCTCTTGGAACGCCTTCAATGCCTCGTTCCTGTCCTCCGTGGCTACAACCCTCTCGTACATCATGTTTTCCGACTCCTCAATGGGGCGCTGCACCGCCTGCAGTGCCGCCCTGACCGCAACGGGCCCTCCCTCGCATATCCCTGCGGCCAAGTTCACCGACTCGCTCAGGACGTCCCTGCGCGCCTGGAACAGCAGCTTCTCCGCGTCCACCTTCGGGGGTTCGCCTTCTGCTGCCTCCTCCTGGCCCTCCGGGATGACCTCGACCAGTCGGTCGGCAATTCCCAAGAAGTAGGCTTCCGCGGCCGAGACCCGCCGGCCGGTAAGGATAATGTCCCGGGCACGGGCAACCCCAATGAGGGCCGGGAGACGGTAGGTACCGCCCGCACCGGGGATTATGCCGAGCCGGGTTTCAGGGAGGCCGACGACGGCATTAGAGGACATGACGCGGAAATGTGTCGCTAGTGCGAACTCGAGGCCGCCGCCAAGGGCAATTGAGCCGATGGCAGAGATGGTGGGGATAGGTAAGGCAGAGAGGGACGTCAATGACGCGCGGAGCGTAGTGAGGAAGGCGGCGGTCCTGTTAAACGAAGATGATCAGCTTTGCTACCCGGTACATATTGCAACTTGTTGCTGCTCTTCTAGGCCAACGTACTCCTCTTGTGTGAATGTCTTTCTCTCCTTCAAGTCAGCGCCTGAGCAGAAGCAGCTGTCGACCGCACTGGCTATGATCAATGCCCTCGTCGGGCCCTTCTCGTCCGGTCCCGCCGCACCGCCGAATCGCTGCTTCCAGCTGGGCTGCGGAAGCTCGTCTCCCGTGGCGGCATCGTACTGGGCATGAATGGCATCAATCTCTTCCCGAAGGGAGTATAGCAAGGCGCGAGAGATCGCGTTTCTCGCACGCGGTCGATTGAGCTCGAGAATGCGAATATGACCAGAGTTCGGTGCTGGCAAGTCGGTTACACGTACGAGCGGCTCTGTGCTCTCGGCGGCGGAGTATCGTCGAACGGACGTGAGGTAAGCATGTCGTTGAGATCGAAAGACGAGCCGTGACGGGGTCAGGACAGATGGCGGACGAGGAGGCATCGTGGTGCAGTGCAATGCAAGGGCGGCACTTGACAATAGAGGAGAAGTACCCAGCTCACTTACCTTGAGGGTTAGATGTCGGTTAAGATGACGTCTGACTGCCGATCGGCTACTACCGGTTCCCCGCGGTTTCGGTGTGAACGGTCCTCACGAACTGCATGCTTCAGTGTCAACCATCCCGTAAATCAGCAGATACAAATTGTAGACACGTCTCGCATTGCTTTAAAATTAGCTATGATGTGAAATTTACCGTGATTCCTGAGTCTTGCAAAGCACTAACTCGTTCATCAACATCCATGTTAAGACGAAAGATCGGAGGATTTCATAATTGCAACCTTCCGCCTCCCTCCTCAGGAGCATTCATAATCTCGATGTGCGGACCAGAGATGATACTCACGTCTCATATAGCTCAAACCAACACTGTATTCCCAGTCCGTCAAGACCCGCCAGGCGTCCAGTATTTCCCGGCTGCTCCAGTTCAACCAGCCTAACCATATCACGTTGAAATATTCCATTTCCTCGTCGTCATATACTTCTAAGCGTCCAGAAAGAGGATTCGAGGAGCTTGCTTGTCTCATTCTTAGTAAGAAGGCTTGAAGTTGCTTTGCCTCGCGACTTCTCGCGGGTGCTAGTAAAATGTAGACATCGTGTATAAAATTATTTAAACGGTGCGTCACACGGGAGTGTTGGGCGTGCGGGGAGGGCCAACCCGCCGGATTTTCTGCAGTGAGGTGTTTTTCCCGGTAGTATCTGAAGAGCTTTCGATGACCCAAGTAATCGGTGCGGCCAACGTTTCCCCAGTCATGGATCCGGCTTACAAAAGACGTCTCTTTTTTTCCAGGTTCTATGTCGAAGAGTAGACTGTTGGGTCGCCACAGAGAGCAGTCCATTAACGGAGCTAATAAACACTCGTAGAAATATGGGTATCCCTCCCGTCGACAGTCCCCGTTATGACTTTGCCCGTTATGCATTTCATCCGGACAAAGGCATCGTGGTTGGTCTCTGACACCGCCCGGCCGCATTACCCAAAACGATTTGCAAGACCGTTTCGGCCGATCAGGATCTTTACCCCCACGAAAGTAGATGTTCAGCGGCCGGATATGGTCCTCGGGCTCATCGAGAGAGCTGACCAGGTCCCTGAGGATCCGAAAAATGTCGAAAACCTTGGCTTGTAAGATCAGGAGCGCGAGTAGACGATGGCCTGAGACTGCCGCTTCGAATGTGATCTTCATAGCCTCGGGTTGGTAAAGGTGAATATATTTGGCCATTGGCGAGGAGAGATCCCGAACAGTCCACCGGGAAGTTTTCCAGATGCTAGACTTATTCCCTGTCCTTCTCCATGAAATCTCAATTTTTAACGCTGAGCCTGATGAATACCATGGCTCAGCGATGAGGTTTGTGGTCTTTGTCTGGATAGAGTTGTGGGTTTGCTGTCTGAGATCTTCGTCACTATGGGCTCGTGTAAAGTCGATCAGCTCGCCACCGGGCATGCGGCTCAGGATCTCTTTGCGCAGTTGTGAGCAAGTGTGCATGAGTTCGGTAAAATCTTCTTCCTCGGCAAGAACGTCGTAAATGAGATCTCGCAGCTCGCGGGCAAGGCCCAGGAGTCCTCGAGGTTTCTCCATCGCTGGAGCGGATGCCGATGGGATCTGACAGTGACGCTGATAGTTTGACTTGGATTCAGCAGGAGATCACCGTAAGGGAGCTCACAAAGATACGCGTATGATACCAATCAGAGGATTATGGAACCAAGGTGGCAGATTGTGAGTGTAAGAGGATGAAATGAGGATGAGATCGAATATCGTGACACGCGATGCCACTGGTTCTGTCATGGAAAATTAATACGTTTACATGAGGTTTGTTCATGGCTTTATGGCAAGATTGTCGCGTTGACTCGAAAAGCAGATAAAATGTGAAGAAAGGAAGGTGCCAACGGAGTGTTAGATGAAAGGGACAGCATATATGGAGATGGTGAGAATGATGCGTCAAATCTGAGAATTTCTGTCTGCAGCTTACAGGTTACAAGACTCGCCTCTCTCAATCACTTTAAATGAGCCTCTTGGAACTGTTAATACCCATTTTATATTTGCCTTCTATGTTTAAGGAACGACGGCACCCATAAGATGCGATACCAAAAACAACGCCTTATGCATATTTCGAGGGTATTGTCTAGTTATGATATGGATATGTACAATAAAACGACTGTAGGTACCGACTTTTGATGGGTATATGTATGTGAGTGATAGTGATGATAAATGAATGAGCGACACATGAGGGACGGTTTCCAACGCGATTTCCCCGGCGTTTTCTAAATCGCTTTCCCATGCATGAAAACCAACTCGCTTTGACAAAGTGCCTCCCTGACTTTTCATATTCTTGTTCTTATTCATGTGTACTGTCCATGCAACGAACAGAGCAACAGCTTGCGCGCCCTAAACGTCTATCAAAAGGGGTTGCAAATGCGTTCGACCAAAAGAGTTATTAGATAAGCGTTACTTTCGTCATTCCAAAAACATGAAGAGCCTCCACAACTGCACCAACTGCTCCGTCCACCTCACCCGACTCGGCTCTATGCTGAGACCTTGCACAGGCGGCCGTTCTGGGTGGGGTAGTAGGGGATCTGGCCGGTGACGTACCAGTCCTCAGAGCCGACGGCAGTGATGGCGTACAGGACGCCCCAGGGGTCGTACTTCTGCTTGAGTGTGTACAGGCGGTCGTAGTTGGTGCCGTAGAAGGACTGCTGGAAGTTAGGCTCGTTGATATCGGCCTCGTTCATGTAGGCACCGGCGCCAGGGGAGGCGTCACGCCAGGTCTGCAGGCGGTCGGTCAGCGTCTTGCTGGCGGCGGCGATCTCGGCGGGAGTGGCCTCGGAGCCCCAGGTGGCGCCGAGCATGCCGTGCATCAGAGTGTTGCGCCATGCGGGATTGACGGCGTTGTCCTGGTTGACGCTGGGGTTGGTGGCGGGTGCGAAGTTGTAGCCGAGCATCATGCCAGCATCCTGAGCAGCCTTCCTGATGGCGCTGGATTGGACGGCAAGCTTGCTGGAGTCGTTCCAGTTGGAGCGGGGGAAGAGACGAGAGCCGGTGTGGTATGACCATCCACCGACGACCTCGGTGGACTCAGCGAAGGTGTTGGTGAAAGCGTTGTAGACACCATCGTACTCGGTGTACACCTGGTCAGTGACATCGATGCCGAGAGCGCTAAGGTTGGCAAAGAAGGGAGCGTTGAAAGCGGTCAGCTGAGCAGTGTTCATGCCGTTGGCCCAGTGAGGGCCCATGGAGAAGGAGCACGAGTCGGCAGACAGGCACAGCAGGGTGAAGTAGCGGTAGTGACCAGCATCGGCAGCAGCGGGGAAAGTGGTCCAGAAGACATCAACACCAGCCCAGAAGGTGTCCATATCAACCGTGTCGCTGGTGGAGAAGCTGTAGGTCAGGGTGGTGATCTTGACCTTGGGGTAGGCAGCGATGACGAGGGAGGTGACAACGCCGAAGGTGCTGCCACCACCACCACGGAGAGCCCAGAAGAGATCAGAGTTGGTCTTCTCGTCAACAGAGACGAAACGGCCATCGGGCAGCACAGCCTCCAAAGCCAACACCTGGTCAGCAGCCATGCCCTTGACGGACATCAAGGGAGAATGACCGCCTCCGGCGATGTATCCACCACCGAGACCGACAGTGCGGGCGATACCTCCGACGACCTGGAGGCCCTTGGAGTCGGCGAATTGGTACACCTTCTCGGCCTGAACACCGGCACCGATCTTCAGGGCTGCGCCAGAATAGGTGGAGGTGGTGTACTTGGAGATGTAACGGATGTCCTGGAGGTGATGGGTCCAGATGGACAGGGAACCGGCACCGGTGGACTTGCCATTGAAGTCGTGGCCCTTGTTCTTGACGTTCAGACGGACGTTCAGGTTACGAGCGAAGTTGAAGGCGAGCTGGATCTGGGCGACGTTGGTGACGCTGAGGACATACGATGGGTAGCCACCTAGGGTGCAGTTGGCGCCGGTACGGGAGAGCGTAGGCGGCAGGCAGGTGACGCCCTCGTACAGAGGGAAATCAACGCCAGTGGGTTGCTCCATTCTAACGACGGCATGATCAGTATTGACTTAGAAGAGAACGGCCAAGAGAGAAGATTATGATCTTCAAGCGTCACAATGGTCACTGAGCAACACCCGCATGCACAAGGAACATGACAACGACAAAGAAGAAGTTCAGTCTTACTGGTACTTAGGTGATGTCCAGTTGGCAGTGATGTCAGCGCACTGGGCCGCATTGTACTGGGGCCAGTCCTTGTAGCAAACGGCGGCAGAGGGGACACCCTTCTCGAGGGCTCCGCCGGTCAGGAGGTCAAGCAGCAGCCATTGGATGGTGCTGGGCCAGTCCTTGTCGCCGGGCAGGACCTTGCACAGGCTGTTGCGGGTGCAAAGCGAGCGCTTCTTAGATGCCTCGGAGCCATCGGCGAAGTCGAAGATGGCGGCATCGGTGAGGTTGAGACTTGTCAGATTGGCGATGACATCGGTCGTCAGCTGCGCGGCCTCAAAGCCGAAGTAGTCGGCATCGAGGTCCGTGGTGCTGGGATCAACGGTAGCCACGGCTGGGGCAACAGTCTCATTGGTGGCGGCTATTGGCGCAGTTGGTGTTAGAATGGGCCATTGATGGTAATGGGGGGCCTTGAAGACAGCTGAAAGGGCCGCCTCAAAAGGACAACTGGGGGATTTTTGGGAAGATGTGATAGGAGGCATGTTTTGCTCTGCACGAGCACGCGCACAAGCGTGTGTGCGTGCGCATGCAGCCGACTGTGGGGGAAGCAGATCTCAATGCTGAAGAACGACGGCCGTTACACACGTGCGCGCCACCTAAAGCTTGCTCTTCACTTTTGCCCGTCGCTCTTTACTATCCTTGCGCTCTTCAGTTGGGCTGGGAATCGCACTTTGAACGTACCGACAGTGTCACTGCCATCGTCAATGGTTTGACCCAAAGCGAGCTGTGGCAGGACGGACGCAGCGGCCAGGACCGCAGCGAAGAAGGATGTCGACGGCATGGTCGGTCACCTTCGAGGAGGAAGAGGGGGGAGGTAGGGGAAGAGGGTGTTTAAAGAGAGTGTGAAGAACGACGAGACAGCACAGCGCAGGTGGCCCGTGAAGGAGAACAAAAGTCTCGCGATCTTGGAAGCGGGATGGACTTCGGGAAGAATAACGATCGGCACTCTCCAGTACTTATATGAAGGCAGCAGGGTCCCGGTGTGTTGGTGATTGCTCCCCGGTAATTGCGGTGACAGAACCCACTTCCCACGTGGTGGCCACGCATTTCTCTCATGCAGATGCCTCCATCGCCATGCTACTGCATAGCAGAGACTCTAATTGCTTGCTAAGGCATTGCTCAGAGAGAAAGAAGCGGATATAGCATCATTAGCATGCCAATAGCTGACAACAGACGACGGGCTAGTGGGCCAGGTTGGGCACGGCGGTGGAGAAGGGCGTGATGCCGTCGTTCTCTTTTGCTGCTTCCAGGCGATATAGTTACCGACTTTGGTCCTGGGCGCAGTCCCGGTCACAAATGACAAGAGTCAGGACACTCCTCTGGGCCCTCTAAGAAACCGAAAGAACCCAGGCCCAAACCCCTTACCGCGTAGTGTAAGTCCAGGCGTGGTAAGTCTGGAAGACGACCTGCCCTCCTGGGCTCCATCTTATTGCTACCAGCCAACGGGCGAGAGTGGAGTCTCGTCTCGCTCTGGCGGATAGGGAACACAGCTATGCAAAAGTGTCTCCGTTGCTACTCTTACTTGCCATGCTCGCAATGGTAGGATTGCGAGTCTATAGAGTCTGCTACAAGGGCTGGCGGAAATGATGTGGATAAACGGGTTAGCAGAAGGGGGCGCCTCGCCTCCAGAGGCATGGGACCCGGGCCAAGACCAGTCTGCAGGCCAGAGTCCGCCAGCCAGCTGCAGGAACAGCTGCTGATGCCACTATCCGGCGGGGATGCGTTCCTCCGCCACGAGGAAGACCCAGAGTTTCGCCAGGCCACATCTCGCCATGTGCGTCGAAGGCGAAGGAGGTCCGCTGAGGAACCCGGCAAGTGGCGGGGGTTTGCTGCCGACTACTCCGTTGCTGCTCGCTGAGCACGAGTTGGCCACTGGCCTCACTTAGCACCAGATCTAGACAAAAGAAGCAACTCAGGCTTGATCGAGAACACCATTATTGCTGCAGCTACCAACGAGTTTACGCGAGGGATCAACGACTACTACTGCAATCCGTATTGTAGGTCGATCCTGAAGAGTCTTTGTCTGAATACTCCCATGCCGTGACCAGGATCATTTGCGTATCTACACTTAGTTACAATACGACCTGATGAGACACAGGCTGAGCCCATAGGAATGCTTGTTGATAGGAGAGCTGTGTCTTCCGTGTTTCTGATAAGAGGGATTAATTTGCACCTCAGCCGTGGTCGCGGGCGCTGTCTTTGTCCGAATGCTCCTCCTTTGACCACCGATCAAGTCTGCTCGTGCTGCACCTCAGTGGGTCTCAGGATGAAGAAGTACGCTGCAACATAGAAATAGCCTTGACTGGGGGCGCGAAAGTTCTGACGGTGGCATTGGCCCCATAAATCTTCTCTCTGTCTGCCCTTACTCCGTGTTCCGTACACCGAGCAGAATTGCAAAAGTCCATTGTCACGGTAACATTCATCAAGGTACTCCAAATGCAAGGGGCCGGAGAAGGGTGCTCCACCAGCGCATTGGAACCCTTCTCGAACCCTGCTGTGGGATTGCTTACCTGAGGTTGACAGAGCAGAGTCTGCAGAACAAACACGGGACAGAATGACCACTGACACGACGGCAATAAGCTGGAATGAAGAGTCTTTGGCGGGTGCAGCCGAACGGGATCAACTGTCGCTTCCGTTGAAGTGGCTGGCTTATCTTGCAATAACGACAACTAGCAGCCGTATGATCAGTTCGCCGAGGACCAGGTCAATACCCCGATACCAGAACTCCCAAACCACCAGATGCTACTATTCTGCTCTTCCCTGCTGTAATCAGTGGATACATCTCACAGAGTCGGACCCGATTGCGTGCGAAAGGCTTGGCTTGATCCGATGGCCTGTGAGAACTGACCAAGCAGGACGACGACGCCCAATTTCCCAGTGGCAGCCCCTGGCCCCTGCGAGGACTGCGAAGTGGGCGCTGTGGGTAAGAGGCAAAGCCCCAAGGATCATGCCCCGCGAGACCATACTCGATGAAGCACGTACTATTGCTGCATCCCTGACCCGAATCGATAAGGTGGCCCCAGTGTCCCACAAATGAGGATCACCGCGAGGATTCTATTGCTGCATCCACTGTTGCGTACTCGGTCCAGTTCCGACCCTGGCCAGCTGCCACTGTAACTGGAACTGTAACTGTACTCTATCTCACCTACAGTATCTTATTAAGCGGACTCCATGCTTGTGCTCGTGCGTCTTTCTCAAGCAAGGGGTAGAGGCCAGACTGCCATTGAGGCCGAGAATTCCTCTATTGAGCAAAAGAAAACCAATTGAGGTCGATTAGGCTCATGTGAAAAGACATCTGCAGAGAAACTTGGGTGTAGCATGTTCTAAATATTCACGCTGCTTTTCATCGTGAAACCGCCGCCGGCCGTTGGCCCGTACCGCTGTCTGAGTGTCAGCCACACTGGAACATTCCGTTATTTAAATTAACCGTGGTGGTGTGTGCCTGCCTGCCTGGCACTCCTGCACTTTAAGGATTGCATGGCAGTATTTAGAAGAGTCAGTTTCTGAAACTGGACCAAACAATCGTCCAACTCGGGGAAGCCCAGGCGAACAGGTGGCCGGACACCCGCCGGACAAGCTGAATACTTGATACCTCAACATGCAGGCCCCGCAGACTAAACAGCCTAGCAATTTCATGCTTCAGTGAATCGCAGTCGCTCAATGTGTGGTTCCCACTCGCAGAGTTCATGCTAGCAGGAGGACCATGCAGTAGCTGGCCTAGTGTGGCTGCATGTTCATGGAGCATTCAGCTCTTAGTCCTGGAACTATAACTGGGCCAGTTCGTGAGTAGGATCTGCTCATCAGGCAAAGTTCTCATGCCTCTGGTACCACTTTTGGCTTCCATCCCACCTTCCGACTTTGTTTTGCCGTCGTCTGGCTTCTTTGAGATTCTTCCCTTGTCATTGACGTGTCATCTCACACGCTGGCGAGCTGTCGGATCGAGACGGTATGCCCGGTCAACGATTTACGGTATTGGTCATAGGTGAGTGAGGCATCAGAGCCAGA